GCCCCCTGGAAACGAGCCCACGCAGCGCCTCGGGTCTTCGCACGAGCAGGCACGTGGTGTCCTCAGCACCCCCACACCCGGGACACACACACACCACACTTGGCTCCCACACCTGAGGGTCCAGGAGAATGGCAGGAAGTCACCGCAGGACAGGGCATCCTGTGAGGGCACTGCAGGGCTACACACCTCAGAGAGGCCCCCGGGCAGGTGTTCTCTCCCCAAAGGATGAGCCAGTCCTGACCACACCCAGATCGCGGTGGCCTCCAAGCCAAGTGCCAACATCTCACGTCCAAAGGGATGCGCAGGTACCTGCTGTGCGCGGAGCCCAAGCCCCTCGCAGAGCTCAGGACGAAGCCAGTATCTAGTCCCGGGGCCGTCACCAGCCAGGAGAGGCGTCCGGGGCCCTTCCCAGCAATGGCCATGGGAAGTAACAACTCAGGCCCATCAGGGGCTTCCTCACTATGCAGGTTTTAGAAGTGGAGACAGAGGTTCAGGTCTAGTGGCACAAACATCGATGGACCCCATGGAAATGCGGGTGCGGCCCCTCCATCCCACCAGCCTTCATGGCTGCTCCTTTCTGCTCCCATCACACACGTCCCCAGCCAAGCCCCTTCTCCTTTTCCACACTGGATTCCTCAAATCAAATCTCGCTGTCCTTGGCAAATGTACCATTAATTTATTTACCGCCCAGAACAAAAGCACACTTCCAGTTAACATGACACCCCCGCTATGATAGAACAGCCTTAATTCAGACATGATGTGGAGGAACAGAGGGAGGAGGGGTCGAGAGCCGCCCTGGAATCGGCAGCTGTTTTCTGGGGAAAGCCTCCATCCCACCCAAGCCTGACATCGTGCCACACTGTCCCCATGGTGTCCGAAAGCTCCAGGAAGACAGGGTCACTCTGACCCCTTCACACCCGCAACGCCAAAGAGGAGCAGGTGTTCAGGAAAAGTCTCCTGCTAGTGCTGAAGACAAGAATAATTCCTCGTGGTGCCCAGAATGTCAGGAGAAAAGAAGGCACCATGTGGATGCCTTCCAGGTGAATTTTGGAATGATTCTACCGAATGCCAGTCATCCTTTTTCAGAACAAAATCCATACCAGAAAACATGTGTCGCCAGCAGAGAGATGGTCCCTTTGACGGCTTACAAACACACCTACGTTACACTGAATTTATCTCAAGCCACCCTCTCTGTGCTAATGAAAAAAGTGTCCCTTATTAACCAGTAGCCTTTCTCATCTGGTGCTTTTTTAACAAGCAAGAGGATCCTGTAACACTCAGGCGTTGTCTAAAACGTCAAATGGAAGCCTAAAATCCTCTTCCGTCCAGCTTCACTGCAGAGTATTTTGACGTGAGCCAAATCGTGCTCTTCCTACACCTCCATAGGAAACTCAATGCTTCATCAAGGTGATGCAGCATGATTTCTGCTAGGCACAGAAACTGGAGGGGTGGGGATGGGGTTGAGGGAACATTACATAGAAAGCACACCCGATAATCACCTGCATGAGTGCCACACGGGCCGGCAAGCCCCGGTCGGCTCAGTCTCTGCACAGTCACAGGTGTGAGGCCTACAGGGCAGACACCTGGCACTGCTGACCACCCCAAGGTCGTGGCTGCTGCACCTTCTCTGCCGCCCATGAGTTCTAAGCTTCTGGCAACACCGCCTGCTGCCCTGCCTGACCGACTCTTCATGAAAAGCAAATGTTGCCAGGATAGCTTATGAGTACATTTGCCAGGAAAGCAGCTCTGATTGATGCTGAAACCCCATTCTCGAAGCCCTGGCAGCTCCCCTACCCCCGATGTGTACATGCTTGCAGCTCTGACCTCGCTCAGTGTCCACATAAGCTCTGTCCCCTGGACAGCCCAATGCAGACTCAATGTTGAGTCAGAAATACACAAAGAGGCTGACAGTTATGAACCACCTGCCTGTCCCCCGAAAAACAGGTTGAAATGCTCACCCTCAATGCGATGCTGTCAGGATGTCTCTGGGAGGTGATGAGTTCCCGAGGCTGGAGCCCCGTGAATGGAGTTTGTGCCTCAGACAAGGAGCCCAGCAAATCCGTCACCCTCCCACTGTGTCAGGGCCAGAGAGAAGGTGTGTGTGAATCAGGAAGGGGCCCACACCAGAACCCACCCGTGCGGCACCCTGATCCCGCCTTCCAGCCTCTAGAACTACGAGAAACAAATTTCTGTTGTTCATAAGCCATTCAGTTAATGGTGTTTC